CTACTAAATGCTCGAGTAAGCAAGGCCAATAAAAAAAATAAAAGAAATAATTTGCTGTATTGTGAAACTATTACTTGCAATTATTAAATGCAACAAAATATAACAGCATTACAAATTACGAATTAAATCAAAAACTAGCTGTAAATGGAATTCTGTCTTAAGGCAATTAAGGCATCGTGCCTTAAGACAAATTGCTTGAACTTCCCGTGCCAAAAATTATTATTTTTTTTAAAAACGATTAACATTTTTGAAAAAAATTTACTTTGAAAAAATAAGATTTTTGAGAAACTATAAATTGGACAAAAAATTACTTTTTTTTGAAAAAAAAATTAAAAAAAAAATTTTTTTAATTTTTTTTTTTTGAGAAAAAAAAAATTTTTTTTTTTCTTTATTTTGACATATTGTGGAAGATCTGAACTTTCTTTTCAAAGCAATCGTACTGCTTTAACTGCATAGGGACAAAATATAAAGCGCGTAAGCGCCGCGTCGCTGTCTAACGCATAAGCATTGGTACGGAACCCATAGGAATGTTAACAAAATGTATACTTATTGTTAAAATCTCTATAAAATATCTGATAATTTGATGTGCATATGTCTAATGATCATTTTTGACCGCCAAATGACTCATTTTTTTACTTTTGCCTCCATATCTCCGAAACCGCTAGACCTACCTTCATGAAAATTTTATCGATTCTTCATCCTGTCAATACAAGTGAAATGTTTTTTTGAATTATTCAAATCGGACGCTTCGTTCTCTTAAAAACTGAGTTACCGTTTTTGCACTTTTTGCACCGTATCTTCGGAACGGCTAGACCTGCCTTCGCCAAAAACTAATCAGCACGTCTCCTTATCAATTCGAATCGAATGTTTTTTGAATTATTCAAATTGGTTGATCCGTGTTCCCGAAATCGTCGACGAAAATTTGTATCCGCACATACATACACACACATACACACATACACACACACATACACACACACACATCCATTTTTTCTAAGGTATGCCAAAATGTTCAGAAACCCCTGAAACGTAAAGATATATAAAAATTTTCATTTTTGATTTTTTTGCGATTACTATAACTTGCCCTACGGGAAGTTAACTAGAATTGTGAATAAAATTGAATGGTCTATTGAGTGGCTAAAAGTAAGGTGACCATATTTTATTTAGTCAAATACGGGGCTGCAATTTTTGATTATGCTAATCCGATCCGAATTTGATGACGTGGAGGGGGGGCTTTAAAATAACAAGATATTTAAAAATACAATAAAAACTGTTTTAACTGGTTCTACAATAAGAACTTTATTTATCTATGATAGTTGATTTAAAACTTTATTTATCTATAATAACACTATTTTATCTAAAATATTACACAATAAAATATAAGATATTTTTATATCAGATATAGTATAATATCATATATGTCTGTTTTCATTTTCGAGCCTTGTATAAATTTCTATTCAATTTTCTTCATAATTACTTAAAATAAATTAGCAATTGTTGGTTAACCAATATTTGTCCCATTAATTTATATTAGTTATTTTAATATTAGGTTGTCAAATATCTCCCTTCCGCCTTTTTGTATTATAAACAATACAAAAAAGCGGAAGGGAGATATTTGACAACCTAATATTAAAATAACTAATATAAATTAATTATTAAAATATAAATGAATAGGATAAATTAATTTTTTTTTTGAAAACAAACAAAAGATATAAATGCGGGACAAATATTGCTTTTACATAAACCCGGGACACAAGGTGCAAATCCGGGACTGTCCCGGCCAAACTGCGACGTATGGTGGTTACCTTACTAGACAAGAGCCTGAAATAATATCTATTATTATTGATTACGGCTTGCTTATGAATAAATGAATAAATAAATAAAATAAATACTAAAAGGGCAATATTTCTTTCAAGCAAGTGTCTACACAAAAATAATAAGGTGTATTACAACATACATGTTTAAAATAAAATAAAAATTAGTTGCAATTTATATCAGCAACGTTATTATAATATTCGACATAATGAAACTTTTTTAGCTGCAAATATAGTAAATGGAAAACATTTTTTTTACTATATTAGCTATAAGTAACGCATCTTGCATAACATTTACAAAAACATTAACATTTTATTTTAAGAAATCTAAATAATACGATATACAATATCAAAATAATACAATATGCTCTAGCAATAAAAATCATAAATTAATATGATACTATGATATAAATAAAACAATATTAATTAAGAAAATTATTCCTTTACTTTCACTGTTACTTATGATATTTTTGGTTACCTGAATATTAGCAAACAGTTCAAAATTTGACATCATTGAGTATTTGACAACGACGACAATCACTTGGTCGACTGTTACCTGGTGGATGAGGTCCTTAACATTTTTACTTTGTTCAGGTAAGATGACGCTAATGTGCTAAGGGCCTTTACGGATTACTCCAAAACTTAGTACAAATTACCCTAAGTACACGTTGCGGAGGGAAAAATTTGAAAGTCATCTAGGGTATTACGATCACTGTTCCTGATGATGATGAGTTTGGGATATGAATTTCTTGATTCTGACCCGCTCGGTTTTCGGTCATTTGCAACGACGACCGGACTCCGAATATCTGATGGTAATTTTTATGACCAATTTATAAATATTATTATTTAAATTAAACACTGAAATGCTTTGATACATATGCAACAGTTACTTATGCCAAGTCACAAATGGAAATTATAACTGTGCACTTGTGATTACTAATTATAGCACCAGTACAACAAGTCTAAGTCTGTACTTAATGTTTTAGAATAATCAGATTGCAGAATAAAGTTAAATAAAAAATAAAATTGAATAACAAATTAAAAAATCCAAATAACTTTAAAAAAATGTATGCGATGGATGCATGATATTGCCAAAATGTATTCTAACTTTTTTAATTAAAATGTCTGCAACTTGTAATCAGTAGTGGTTTTTTAGTTTGTATACTGATATGTAAGTATACAATACTCCAAAGTAATTATAATATAATATACTTTAATTTTCATTATACAGGAACCAGAATTAATTACTTTAGATTCTTACTGCCTGCCAGAGTTAAATTACCATCAGATGTCAGTACTGTGCTAAAACTACCAAAGCAAACTTCAAAATTTAGTCTGGACAACGTCGAGGCAACCTTCCTGCCGTCTTCTGTAACTTTTTTCCGCACCCATTGAGGTAAAATATTTTTGGAAGCCTCGTTTTTTATTAAAAGACGAGGCTAATATACAGTTTAAACTAGTTGTAAGTGGCATTTTGGCTTAGGCAAACTGGATGAACTTTCCGACATGCGTAAAAGGTATGGGTTTGTTAAATAATACTCTCATCGACGTTTTCTCAAAAACGACTGACTCGATTTCAAGAAATTTAAAAACTATTCCTTTTGGTTAGTTTCTTGATACGATAAGCTGAACCGTTTTTTAGATTCTGAATCAAACTTTGTTGAAAATAATCCATGGATAGATGATATCTTTGAATATTTGATAAAAATAAAACGGCAGAAACTTCGTGCTCATTAAGTTTGGGCAAAGATCGGTCAGGCCGTTTGTTCATAATTAATTGTAAAAAAAATTAACGACTATTCTAATGAATCTTTGCATAGTGCTTTCAATTATAAAAAGTGGTTTAATTATAAAACGTATAAGTAATATTTGGACTTATTCTGCCGCAATTTAAACTAGTTGTAAAAATGCAAAATATTTCGAATCAGAATCAGACTCAGACTCAGAAGTGTGTATTTCGTAAAGTGCTTTACTTTATAACATTTGCTTATTAACTTCCCGTAGGGTGGTTATAGTAGTGAACCGAAATTGAAATTTTTTTGCATTTCCCGACGTTTTGAAGGTTTTTGAACATTTGGCATACCTCAGAAAAAATAATATTAACTTCCCGTAGGGTAGTTATAGTAGTGGACCGAAAATGGAATTTTTTAGCATTTCTCGACGTTTTGAAGGTTTTTGAACATTTTGGCAAAAATGAATGTGTGTGTATGTTTTTTTTTTTTGTATGTAAGAAATACTTTTACGCATCCCAGACTGGTGTTTTGTCTGGGTATGTCGGGCTCAACACCGCCTGGTATAATACCGACTAAAACCTTCGCTTTGCCCTTGCCTCTGGTCCCCACGGAAACCGTCTTTAGGCATTACTTCGTAGGGGAAGGATCTAGAATATTTTAATTCTCAATTTATTTCATACTCATAATTTAAATGGGCAAAGCAGCAAAGCACCATTCGCCCTTTCTCTTTCCAGAGACCGCAGGTTAATTAGCACGCAGGTCAATCCGATTTGAATGATCTAAAATACATTCAATTCGTAATGACGGGAGAAGTGATGATTAGATTTTAGCAGATTTTAGCAAAGGCAGGTCCAGCCGTTCTGGAGATACCGAGCTAAATGTGCAAAAAATAGCAGTTTTTGAGAGTACTAAGCATCTGATTTGAATGAATCAGAACTTTCTGCTGTTTTCACAAAATAATTGCTGTTGAAAAAAAAATATTTCAATTTTTTTGGCTAAAGTTTTTAATGCTCACTTATATACTTAAATAAATAATTTTAACTTCTATGTTAAAATTATTTATTCTATGTAATTCAGGTTATATTACTCTTATAAATATTAGACAATGTTACAGTATTTAATCTATATGAAAAACATTTAATATTTCTCGATCATATTTCGGTTTGGGTACGGAAAGTTCCAGAAATTGTTTTCTTAAAGCACGATGCCATACACAACTAGTCAATATTGTTTTAATTTAGATATTTCTTAAGTACAATAAGCAAAAATAATTAATTTAACATCCACATTCAAAATTTAAATAAATATTATACACGCAAAAATATTAAATAAACCTAGACGTTTCGGCGCAGAATACTGCCACTACTATGCGGCGCTACAGAGTATTCCCTATGTACTATCACCGCAAAAATAGAATGGTTAAGGCTTGGGTCACCTCTTGAGACCCTTAAGCATACTTACCTGGCGTGGGGGCTACCGTGATCATCAAGGCGGTTCCCCCAGGGCGCTGCCCTTCCATTGCACCTCGGTTGAAATGACCCCTGCGATGTGTCCCTAATGTGGATAACTCGGGCGCGCAATTTTTGGTAGTCGGGACTGCGTACGCGCTGTCCAGGTAATAAACTCATACATTTCAATAATACAGAGATATATATTTTATCGTGTAGTATGTGTTTCTTCAAAAATGTTTCATTCTTTATACCCCAATTTACCCCAATTAACTGTCATTGGCGGTTTGGCTTAATTGGTTAAAGCGCGTAGTAGTCTAGTAGCAAGAAACTTTTCCTATTTTTTTTATATTACTATTGACGTCAACTTTGATAACTCCAACTAATATTCATAACTCTAATATTCAATAATATAAATATTACAGCTTACAAATTACGAATTACTGAATTCAAAAGTTAGATAAATAAAATTGAATGGTCCATTGAGTGGCTAAAAAGACAATATTTCTTTCAAGCAACTGTCTGCAACAAATAATATACAAGGTGACTGTAAACATAGCAACAAAATTATTTCATTCTTACGGAATTGCAAATTGTTTATTACAAATCGTGACAAGCATTTTAAAATCATCATATGTTATTTAATAACAATGTAGATTTGATCTTATAATTTTAAAACGCTTATTGTCACCATAATTGTTGATTTCTATCAAATCCAATTTTTAAAAAAACTAGAGCAAACGCAAAATGATACCACATTTTTTAAATCAAGTCAGGGAGTCACTTCAGTCTCAAACGATTCAGAATGATTTGAAACGCTGAGAAACATAAAATTAGCAAGTCCTACAATATGCATATATCTTACTCTGTCGCTCTGCACAGTTGCGTATACGTCTCTCTCTTTCGCTCTTGCGCAGTGAAAACGAAACGTATAGCCATCTCTTTCTGTCACATACTACTCATCTTTCGTCTCTCTCTTGTCTAATTCAAGTTAATTCGGTTTGTATCTGCTTTAGTTTATCGGTACAGTTGCAAGTCGGTGTTGAAATTATAAAAATATTCATAAGTTCCAAACCGTTCGTTTTATGTCAATGATGTTTTTGAGACTTCTGTTTATAATGAATTGATGAATAAGTTTGTCTAACATTAAAAGTGCGTACAGAAACTCGGTGTACTCTTAAAACGCAATTGAAAACTGGTAAAGAAATTTATTTATCAAAAATACATTTAGTTATTGAATTATTGATAACTTGTAAAATATTTGTGTAGTGTAAATAGTATGTATGTAAATTTGTTGTAAATGGAAAAATGAATAAATTTTATTAACATCCAAAAACTCTACAGCAATTGGGTATACTTTAAAAAGGCGCCAAATTAATGTTTTTATCGAATGTTCTATCATCCAAGACGTTTCTTTTGTTTCTCCGACGAATATTCAACAATTTCAATCTCCATAGTCCCTGAAGTGACTTTGAAGCTCCCATCTAAAATTTTGACCCACAGTCGATATTTGCCTGTTGGCAGTAAAAATTTTGGCATCTTTTCTTCATGCAAATGGATGAAGAAAATCATCAGTTTTAAATTAGGCAAAAACTGGCATAAACTTGTCTTTTTCTTACTGGTGTGAATGGGCATTTCCTAGGAAATTTGTTCCCAGACGCGAATACGGCGTCTCTTATCGGTTTTGCCATTCCGGATAAGAATGACGACCCTAGCCCAGTTTGCCCATCGTTATGTAACCCGGAGAGTAAAGGACACAAGTTGAACTTCATAGGACGCAATTGTTCCTCGTAGTTATTTGACACGTATTTGTACAACTTGAATTCGGCCTAGGGAAAAATGGGGAATGATATAGTTTTGCCCTTGGGGTAATAGATCGGCTGTGGTATTTATAAATTTGATTTTTTTTGGACAATCTTAGGCATAGAAATTACTTAGAAGTGGAAGTTTGATAGTGCATTTTTTTTATTTAGCGTTTTTTTGTTGACAATTTGTTTGTAAACATATAAATGATCATATACAGTATGATAGTATATTAAATCTGCTAACTTATTGCATATACCGATTTTTAACTTTAAAAACAAAATTGTTCTTTAAGAATTCTTGAAATTAAAAAATTTTTGCACACCATGTTGACAAGGTTAGTATTTATTGGGTACATTTTTATGCATCTAGCCTAATTTTGTTAATAATTCATTAGCGAGTTTATAAGATATTAAATACAGTCAAACAGTATATTAAATTTGCTGAATTGCTACATTTGCTAATTTTTAACTTCTAGAACAAAATTATTTTTGAAAAATACTAGAAATTTAAAAATGTTAACACGCCATCTTAGTTTAGTTGGTGTTCAATGAGTGCACTTTTTTACGTTTAATCTAATTTTGTTTATAATTTATTTTCGAACGTATAAATTACTAAATACAGTAATATAGTATATTAAATTTGCAATATTATTTTTTTCGTTTTAATGAAGTTTACCCTGTAGTATAGTATATAGTATACAGTATACTTATAATACAGTAATATAGTATATTAAATTTGCAATATTATTTTTTTTGTTTTAATGAAGTTTACCCTGTAGTCTTCGATGGTTTTGATGACAGTTCCATTAAAAATGACACTTGTATAAGACCTGTTGTATACTTCAATTGCACATTTATGCCAAATTATATAACTTGCATTGACATAATCTATTTTTATTGAACGCATAAAAATTCGGTAGTTTGTCTGGAAAATATAAAAAAATTAAATATATATATATATATATATATATAATTACTGTGTTAATATATATTTTTATTTATTTCAGATAAGTGCATTTGTCCATTGTGTTTCTGCTGCTTCCTAATAGTAAGTAATTTTTTTAGTATCACTTTTATATTATCAGTTATATTTTGGCATATATATATATATATATATATATATATATATATATATATATTGAATTGTATTTGGTTGCGGGAACACGACCGTTTACCTCGGACACTTGGGTTTTATATACGGTATAGACAACACACCTTCCTCCGGATACCTTGGTTCTTTCCTTGGTATGATAATACACTTTCTACTTAATAATTTCTTTATTGCATAATATATACAATAATATGTACAATAACTCCAGTCGACGACTGTACGGAAAATAACCCCGACTAAGCCCATTGCGTCGGTTTTATACTGGGTCCTTAACGGTACCCGCCAGGGTTACACAACCTGCTGCAATGGGCAGGGGTATGAAACCTTTACATAATTTTAAGTTTTCACAAAATAAGGTTCGTTACATATCAATATATATATATATATATATATATATATATATATATATGCATACAATTTTTACAAAACTATATTAAAGTTAACAAATTCTTATAAACAAAATACATCGTTTAACTCATACCACTGAAAATGATCATGAGGCGTTATTGTTTTATTTTTCATTAATTCATAATTAAAGTTTCACACAAATCTGAAATTTGTGTGAGTCAAACTTTGAGATGTATATTACGTCTACAAATACTAAAGTTGTTGAATTTTGGGCAACATTTTGAATTAGTTACAACTTTGTCCAAAAAGTGCACAAACTCTTTTAGAGACACAACTAATTTTCTATGATGACTTGCTTCGAGTTGAAAATTACGTTTTGTTTTATTTTTTTACAAATAAACCGTTTATACTACAAACTTGTAATTCCACATGGACATACCTATGTATGTCTACTATGGTGATAAATACTAAAATTTGTAATTTTTTTAATAACATTTTGTTTAATAACAACTTTGTCCACAAAGAGCACAAACTCTTCTAGAATTATTTTTCTAAGGCTTTGTATAAGATATAACGTTTTGTGTTTTTTTTACAGCCATTTGTACTACAAACTTTAATACCTAAGTATGTCTACTATAGTTACAAATACTAAAATTGGTGAATTTTCCGCAATTGCTTGAAATAATAAATATTTTTTCAAAATTTGCATTGTCTTTCAGCCTAATTTAAGTAGCACACCAGTGTGTTCGGTGTACAAGTAGAGTTTTTTTTAATTTTAATTAACACACCGTTTGTGCAAAACACGTGAAATTTGCACACAAAATTCTTCAATATACAAGCTATAGCTACAAGTACTAAAACTGTAAAATTTGTAGCACTCACAAAAGTAATTAGCTATTTTCTGTACACTATACACTTATTTAACACACGAGTGACAAAATACTGACAACTAATTATAAATTTATATAAAACTTGCTAAATCTATTTTTATAGCTTAAATTGGTATTGACAAACATTTATTAGCTACTTTTTTTGGTTATTTAATAAAAAAAAAACACTCACCCAGCTTTCACTATTTTGAATAAAACAAAACATCCACAAACAAACAATTAACATTTGGTACTTCATGTTTTTTTAAATACAAGCTTTTTAAAATAAAACTAGCTATTGTAGCTACAACTAAAGCATTTATTGGCTGCTTACAAAAAAGCAATTGACAAGTTCGTTTATTCGTTTATAACAAATCGTGACAAGCATTTTTAGATAATAATATTTTTGTTACTGAAGATTTGATCTAGCAATTATATATTTATATATTTTATTGTCACCATGATTATTGACGTCCGTAGGTACCATAATGTATAAAATGCACTTGGGTATCATAATCATCACTAAATACTAACAATTACCATAATTAATGTAATTTAAAAATATTTTCCACGAACTAAAATTAAAGAAACAACTTTGTACGGAACCCTATTGCTTTAATAAGGTTTTACCCCACAGAGATTTTTACCATACGAAAACATTTTGGGCCCAAGTATGGCCCTCTGTACTATTTACAGTTGCTTCGCGAATACACTAGCATAACGCGTATACATTCATTTATTATATGTGCTGTAATTTCTAAACCAATAGTCCAATTTGAATAAAATTATCGGCAAATTTGTACAGAATTGAATAATTTATAAAATTGTCTGACACCACAAATACCTAGATCGACTAGGTATACCTAAAAAACCTAATTGTAAACAAAACTTTTATTTCTGTCCAGATTTGTGTTTAAACGCTAATAAATCATAAACCATTCGGTGGTTATGAATGTGGCCTTAAACAAATTTGTTGTAAAAGAAGACTTTGAAATTGGTTCAAAGGGCAAATAATTCTAGAGCAACTCGATGTAC